TGTGTCTCATAGTGGGGCCGACCATATGGTCTCTGTGCATTGGCTGCTCTGAGCAGGGATATCGTCCTCCAGGCTGGGTGGGCCAGGATGTGCTCCACTCTCTCTTCCTCCCCTTTCATTTGCTCCTGTGTGCTCTGATCAGACATGTCCCGCTCCCTGAGGTGCAGCTTCAGTGCTGTCCTCTGAAATACATTCTTCTGGGGGGAGGACAGGTGTCCACGTAGTTGGGATTGGGGCTGGCCCCAATCCAGAGGGCTTTCAGTGGTTGATTTTGGAAGTAGATGGCCAGGCCTTCCTTCTTAGTCTTTCTTAGTCTAGAAGCTCCGTGATACCTCTTCAGGCCCATGGCAACATGCAGCGTTCCACCGACAGATGGATGTGTGAGATGCGCCGGCCAGGAATTGAACTCTAGTCTTCTGAAGGGAAGGTGAGAATTCTACCACTGAACCACCAAGGCCCCCTCACTTATAAGTCTACAGTAAGTTTAGTTACAGCACTTATAAAGAACAGTTGAGTGGAAAATACTTTGTGAAGTGAATGACTGGCGTCAAGAGGTAGCATTTTGCATGGATTAAGAAGTGAGAATGCGGGGTAATTTGAGGCAGCTGAATTAGAATTACCTTTAAAATTGGGTGGGAGGCCTGTTGATCATGAGGTGTTGATGGGATCAGGTATTAGGCATCAGAAGACCCAGAACAAGCAATCATATTGATGTGAACGAGGTGGGGTGGGGTGGGTGGAGTAGAGACCCCAAACCCACCTGAAGACAATTAGTCATCCCCTCACAGAAGGCCACAAGGAAGGAATGAGCCAAACAGGGTGCAGTATAACACTGATGAAACATACAACTTCCCTCTAGTTTTTTAATGAAACATACAACTTTCCTCTAGTTCTTTAATGCTTCCTCCCCCCAACCCCCTGCCCCGACTATCATGACCCCAGTTCTACCTTACAAATCTAGCAAGATCAGAGCATGTACACTGGTACAACTAAGAGCTCTGGACACACAGAATCCAGGACAGATAACCCCATGAGGAACAGTAATGGGAGTAGCGATACCATGAGGGTAGGGGTAAGGTGGGGGAGAAAGAGGGAATTTATAACAATGATTGATGTATAACATCCCCCCTCACAAGGGGGATGAACAACAGAAATGTGTGTGAAGGGAGACAGTGGTCAGTGCAAGATATGACAAAATAATAATAATTTATAAATTATCAAGGGTTCATGAGGTAGGGAGGGTGGGGGGTGGCAAGGAAAAAATGAGGAGCTGATACCAAGGGCTCAAGTAGAAAGAAAATGTTTTGAAAAGGATGATGGCGACATATATACCAATGTGCTTGTCACAGTGGATGTATGGATTGTGATGAGTTGTAAGAGCCCCCAATAAAAATGATTTTTTAAAAATTGGTGGGCAAAGGAAAGGTGAAGTGAAACCACAGCTGACTAGAATGAGTGACAGTCTTTACTTACTTTTGTTGTGTGAATTTGCTTGTTGATTTTGAACGGGCCAGGGCAAGTTGAACATAGTCGTGAGAGAGAGTTCATAAGCCATGGGAAAGATGCAAGCAAAGGAGGTCATTGCGGGAACAAAGTCTCTGAAGGGAACGGGTCAGGAAAGGACCATCGCAAAGGCCAAGGATCAGTCTTGGAAGGAAGAAAGTGTTCTTCAATGAGGCAAGAAGTAAGGAAGGAACAACGAGATCGCAATGCAGACTCATTGGGAAAGGAAGGAAGTAAACGATGCAATCTGATCATTGTGATGGTCATTGGCACGGGAACAGAGACTCCGCAAGACCTTTAGAAATATCCCCAGAAAAGCCACAGTGTCTTCCCAGTAAGCCCAAGAGCTGGGCCATACATGCCCATCTGGTTAAGAGCAAGTTAAGTTTCTGATTGTGGAAGCTACCTGCCACCGGCTTGGACAAGCTCTAGTCTGATGTAGTCCTCTGATCAGCTCCCCTCACTGTTTGTCTGCGGATGTTTGCTCAACTCACACCTTCTATAACCAAGACTCATTTGGAAGAAAATCAGGCCCCAGAAGACAGGGTTTGGGGCAAAATTTCTAGAAAGCAAGAAATAATAAAAAGCAGCGAAAGCTACACACACACACACACACACACACACACACACACTACTGAATAATTGGGAGGGGAGGTATCAAAGACTAAAATGTGTAAGTGCTAAAAGCTTTCTGGGCAGCATTAAAAGTTTTGCAAGATCCTTCTATCCTTACCTGTCCACACCATGCACAGGACCATTAACATTGAATTCGTAAACCCGTGGTTGGCTTATGTGGAACAAGGAATCACATGTATAGCAGTGTGGGACTCATCTACAATTTGTCTTCCTTCTATTCATAATAATATAGCTGCAAAAAAATCATATTTCTTTCTAAAATGAAAACTCTTTAGGGGAAATTATATTTAAAAGTTAATAATGGACAATATTAAAGACATAAGCAATTGGGTGCAACATTTCCAAGCTTACCTTCTAAATACCAAAAGGGGATAATTTGAGGAAATTATTCAATGCCCCTTACCTAAAATATCCAGTGGCTGAGAGACTAATGCTTTGAGTAAAAGCTTCATTGACCTGAAAAAGAGGAATTGCTTTCAAAGGACAGATACAAAATGGAGCAAACAAAAATATGGGAAACAACCATTTTGTAGTTGCCATGCTTTTTAAAAAACAAATTAGTATTGGGAATATTATCTTGCTGAAAGAATAGCACATCTGATGCCCACGTGGGATTTGACACAAGCTCAAGATGCAGAACTGGCATTGCCAGCTTCCCTGGAGGGCAAAGTTCAGTTTTGGTAGCTCTGTCTAAAGAATAAATGGAAAAGTGGCAAAGGTCAAAATCTGTAGAGATTTAGATACAAGCCCTCAAACAAAGTCTTATAAAAGTTCTCCGTCTCCCTGTCCCATATACGGGGAATTGGGCCTCAGTTGGAGCTCCAGCTATGGCTGGAACATATATACAGGTTTCAGAAGTTACTTTGGTAGATAACGCATGTTCTGACAGTGGGTCTGCCCATCACTGCATCCTGAGTGTTTTCATAACTTCCTCTCTCTCAGACTTATCGCAAGGTCCTGTTTTATTATGGAAAGAGCAAGGATTACCACCCAGAAAATACCCATTCAGTCCCCCCATGAATGTCCAAAATGTGTGCATGGAAAATAGCCTTTACGGAAAGAATTTTTCAAAACCTTATCTATGATAGCAGCTTCTCATGCAAGAACTCCCTTTCAGTGTATTGTTTCATTTTCCTTTATATTTTCAATGTGGACTAAATGGTATAGGTTCTTCCTTCTTTTCCTAATAGCCACATGCACGTGTGCATGCATGCGTGTACACACACACACACACACACACAGTGTGTGCATTTAAATGAGAATAGCAGTTAATACCTCTGATCTACTGTTTCAGGTTGGATATAGATGTCTAGCTGAACTGGCCATTTCTGCTCAGTCATACCTGGTTGTGAGATGTATAGTTGATGTGAGTATATGTTTGCTACTCAAAGTGTGGCCCAGCCGCTAGGCTCGAGCATTGCATAGGAGCTTGATAGAAGTGTAGACTCCCAGGCTATTTCCCACACCTATGACAACAAATCAGATTCTGTATTTTAACAAGATGCCAGGTGATTCATCTGTTAATTAAAGACTGAGAATCACTGCTCTGTGCTGTTCAGGGCAGAGAGGAAGCGGTAGGGGACTAAGCTACGATAGGTCAAGTGTCTCTACCGAGCAGTTCCAAGGGGCTGTGCAGGTGTCGTGACCACGTGGTACTCACCCACTCCTCCCAGGAGCCTTGAGGACTTTGGCTGATGATGGGTTCCAGGCGTCTCAGCAGAGTCTGACAAGCATTCTGCAGGTGGAAAAGGACAGGAGTGTCCCCAAATTCAAGCGCAATCACGTTTATCGCCTTATACTAACCATTCCTCCCACTCACTCCAAGCAGGGTTTCCTTCTGTTGTACACCACGGCACCTAACACCACCACCACCACCACCACCATCGTTTGGTTTGTCTCCATATCTAGTCAAGGTCTTGGTGTTCCCTGCAGTCATGAGCTGAATCGGGACTTTGAGAGCTGCTTCAGAAGGTCTGGTGAGAACCCTCGAGGAAGCAAGACAGAATGCAATTCTCATTCGCTTAGTTCAACCTAACCAGCTTTGGATTTACACGCTTGATGTGTAAAACCAACCAACCTCACTGCCATCGGGTTGATGCTGACTCACAACAACCCTGCAGGAGAGGACTCAACGGCCCCTGTGAGTTTCTGAGACTGGAACTGTTTAAAGGCTCCTGTCCAGATCGGCCGCCTACTTTGACAGACTAGGAGAACCATTATGAAGGACAATGAGCTTCAGAGCTGGTCCTAGATCGGGCACAGAGAACGGCACGTCGGGTTGGAGGACGGCTCTGCTGCTTTGCCCGTATAGGAGTGCCTGGCACTCCCCACATCGTGGTGCCCTCACCCATGACATGGAGACACCAACTCTAGGACAAATCTAGGACTTTGCCCAGGGCCGTCCCCGCTTACACTGGTAGTGTTTGCATTAACATCAATGGCTTCTTTTAATCACCAAAGTACCCTGGTGTGGGTGATATAGTCACCCTACAATCTACCTTGGCAGTTGTTTCCAATATTAAGTATAAAATTAGAGAGCTCATTATTTTCTTTCATTCTAGGTGCACCCATGATGCGTTGTTAAGAAATGGTCACAATACATATGTTAATAAAGTTACCAGCTATTGAATAATTTACTCTTGGCATTGACATTGAAGTTCAGCTGATTGAACTAGAGAGATCTCTCCCACGTTGCACTTGCCTTCTTCCCATCCCCAGACACTCAATATAATTTCTCTCTATGCCATTGAAAGAGCTGTTGGGCCATCTTTCTTCTTGCCTGAGGAGGTCTTTCACGTAGCGTTTGTTAAAACTGCTCTACTTGGGCACAGAGAGTGATATGACAAAGATAGAGAAGTTGTGCCAATGTACATTTGAAAGCTTCAAAGAGATAACTTCCTTGCTTGTTAATACAGAGTTCAACAGACACTCCCTCTGAGGATTTTCCCTGTGTTGCCTTCCTCCTGTGGGATTCCATGGCCAGGCTGGGGATGAATGGGCAGTACTGCAAATAATCTTTCAGGAGAGAAGTAGGGGTTTTTACCTTTGGGAAGCTTTGGTTTTGAGAATATGTTCTTAAAACACCTTTTTTTTTTTTTTAAAGGTAAAACATAATTTATGCTGCTAAATAATATCTGAGGCCTACTCTTTCAGGTGGAACAGAGAAACACAACAAGAGGGTGTTTTACTCTATTATGCGCAATGCCCATGTGAAAAAACAATGGGAAGAATTCTCTAGACTAGAACGGAGGAAAAGGAGGCTGACATTTAAAAGAAGTTTCTCACTGCCATTGGGTCAATGTCAACTCATAGTGACCCGACCAGACAGGGTAGCCCTGTCCCTGTGGGATTCTGAAACTATAACTCTTTATGAGAGTAGAAAGTCCCATCGTTCTCCCACAAGAGTGGCTGGTGGCAGCCTGCGTGCTCACGAGGTGCCAAAGGGATCAGTTGTCAGGCATCGAAGAATGAAAAATCATATCATTGTGTGCTCATCTCCATGATATGATCACTGAAGACAAATGGGTGCATAAGCAGTTGTGGTGAAGAAAGCTGATGGTGCCCAGCTACCAAAAGATATAGCTTCTGGGGTCTTAAAGCCTTGAAGATAAACAAGCGGCCATCTAGCTGAGAAGCAACAAAGCCCACATGGAAGAAACACACCAGCCTGTGTGATTATGAGATGCCGAAGGGATCAGGTATCAGGCATCAAAGAACAAAAAATCATATCATTGTCAATGAGGGGGAGTGCCGGGTAGGGACCTAAAGCCCATCTGTAGGCAATTGGACATCCCCTTACAGAAGGGTCGCAGGGAGAAGATGAGTCAGTCAGGGTGTAGTGTAGCAATGATGAAACATACAACTTTCCCCTAGTTCCTAAATGCTTCCTTCCCCCACTATCATGATCCCAATTCTACCTTACAAATCTGGCTACACCAGAGGATATACACTGGTACAGATAAGAACTGGAAACACAGGGAATCCAGGACAGATGATCCCTTCAGGACCAGTGGTGTGAGTGGTGATACCAGGAGGGTGGAGGGGATGTGGGGTAGAGAGGGGGAACCGATTACAAGGATCTACATATATCCTCTTCCCTGGGGGATGGACAACAGATAAGTGGGTGAAGGGAGACATTGGACAGTGTAAGGTATGACAAAAATAATAATTTATAAATTATTGAGGGTTCATGAAGGAGTGGGGAGCGGGCAGGGAGGGGGGAAAATGAGGAGCTGATGCCAGGGGCTTAAGTGGAAAGCAAATGTTTTGAGAAAGATGAGGGTAATGAATGTACAAATGTGCTTTATACAATTGATGTAGGTATGGATTGTGATAAGAGTTGTATGAGCCCCCAATAAAATGTTTAGGAAAAAAAGAGTGGCTGGTGGTAACAAAGCCCACATGGAAGAAGCACACCAGCCTGTGTGATCATCACCAGGTATGGACAGCATCAGGTATCAGGCATCAGAAGACACAAAACAATCACATTGGTGTGAACGAGGAGGGTCAGAGTGGAGACCCAAAGCCCATCTGTAGAAAATTGGACATCCCCTCACGGAAGGGTTACAAGGAAGGAATGAGTCAGCCAGGGTGCAGTATAGCACTAATGAAACGCATAGCATTCTTCTAGTTCTTTAATGCTCTCTCCCCACCACTATCATGACCCGGTTCTACCATACAAATCTGGCTAGGCTGGAGCGTGTATATTGGTACAGGTAAGAGCTCTTGACAACCGGAATTCAGGACAGATAAGTCCCTCAGGAACAATAATGGGAGTAGTGATACCATCAGGGTAGGGGGAAGGTGGAGGGAGAGTGGGGAGAAAGGGGGGACCAATTGCAATGATCAACGTATAACACCCCCCCATACACACACACTGAGGGGGATGAACAACAGAAACATGGGTGAAGAGAGACAGCAGATGGTGTAAGATATGAAAATAACAATTATTTATAATTTATCAAGGGGTCGCAAGGGGAGAGCGTGGGGGAAGGAGGAGAAAAGAAGATCTGATTCTGGGGGCTCTGGTGAAAAGAGAATGTTTTGAAAATGATGATGGTAAAATATGCACAAATGTGATTGATACAATTGATATATGGATTGTTATAAGAGCTGTAAGAGCCCCCAATAAAAATATTTTTTTAAAAAGGTGGCTGGTGGTTTCAAACTGCTGACCTTATAGACCACAGTGCAATGCATAACCACTACACCAGGGAAGCCAGTAAAGTCATCACCTGCACGGCTTTTCCATTGACATCTGCACCTGTGGATCCTCCTGTGCCTATTGTGTTGGGCACTGTCACAGTGTTCATCTCACCAAGGTGTATGTAAGACATGGGTATCTTTAATTCACGGCTGGCCACCTGTGCACAAAACAAGCAGACAGAATGTGTGGGTCAAAGTGAAAATGGGACAATAATGTAAAGCTATTAGTAAAGACTTTCCTCCCCTCTTTTACAAAGCGATAAGGAGATTCATAATCTATTGGTGAGGGAGACTTCTACCAGCAAACCAAAACGTGCCAAGAGTTTTCACCTTCTTTAAAATCAAAGTTCTCATAGGAGGGTTCCGGGGAAATCTCACGTTGCCACACGGCATGGGGTTAAAAACAGGCTTCCCTGGGGAGTGAGGACTCTTCCCCAACTGCATGTTAGGAAGGGAAGAGAAAGGACAGATTCCCATTCTTTTATTACCTGCTGGGGCTGCACACTCTGCTGGACGTGAACATGGATCCCCATGCTAGAGGGGGAACTCCTTTTTATAGGGTGAGCTTGAGGATGTGGATTTGTTGAGTGTGGAATCAACAGGTTGTGTGGAACTAGGAAGTCTGAATTATAGTCAGGACTTTTCCAGGAATACTGACAGAACTTGCATTTTGGGCTCCAGGGAAGTTAGAGCCTCACCTGTAGAGGAAAAGGGCAGGAAAAGGCTCTGGCGCCTTGGGAGATTGCTTTTTGCTGTAGCCTCTATCACTAAAGGAGGTGAGCCTCCCTGCACCCTGGGTGCCAGTTGGCTCATTTCTGGGTAATCCAGAGTGACCTCTAGGGACATGTGTGGGCAATTTTGGTCATTGGGTCACAATACCTAAAGATTAATAGTAGAAAACAAGGTCTGGGACTCCTCCATGTAGTCTAATGTTGGTCAACAGCCAAGCAGAAACAACCTTTCTCACCTGTATCATCTTGGTGTTAATACCTTGTCCCAATTCAACTCCACCATGAGCAACCAGCACAGACCCATCCGTGTAGATGTGAACTAGAGCAGCTGCCTGGAAATAAAATTAGAAATGTTTTTGATGTTGTTGTTTGCCATAACAACAGTGATAGTGGCAGAGGCAGTGACAAGTGAAATTCCAAAAGCCACAGTTTACCGTTAAAACAGATATAGGAGAACTTAGTTCATCAAAAGACTTAGGTCACCTAGAAATGATAAAAGTGGCATTTCATGAAAACTGGGTTCAAGCTTTATGCATATTTTATTGTTAACATTTAGCTGTAATTATTTCACTTTTTTTATTTGTTTGTTTTTTGCAGCATTACCTAGTGGTATTAACCGGGTGGCGGTGAGTCAAAACCAACTTCATAGTATGCAACAACAGCTGAATTCAGCTACATTATGAATGCCTGTTGGCCCTTGTCCTTGTTTCTGTATCTTTCCTAGTTTGAGGGGACGTTCAAGGAGGAGAGCTCCTCACCCCGTGTCTCCTCCTCTGGAAATCAATGGACATTGACCCACATTGGGAGCAACCCTGTTGCATTGAGCGCTCATTGCTGTTTTGAATCCCAACTTTCTTTGCTCTTAGGTCCCATGAGAGGACTGATAAATACAAGGGAGTTCATTCACCTTTATCTAAATACGCTAAGTATATTCCCCTCAATTGCCTCTAGTAAGCCGAGATTACACACACACACACACACACACACACACACACACACACACACACGCACACACACACACATACCAAGGGGTAGTATCCAGGGGGTACATCATGTAAGTAACATTCAACTTTTATTTAGGAGGATAGAAAATTCGGTGACAGAAATTGGTGATAACGTAGTTAGTTTTATGGAATTTACAAGTGAAAAATATTGAATTGGCAAATGTTTATTTTTTATAGCACTGAAAAAATACAGCAAAGTATAAGGACATGTCTTCATCTCTACCCAGTTTCAGGTTATAGTGACCGATCAGAACCCAGCTGGTCCTGATTCTGGGCCATATTCACAACCAGTGCTATGTTTGAGCCCATGGTTGGTCTTGCCAAGAGTTTATCATGTAATCTCCATCATAGTTTCCATCACCAAGGCCTGCTTTTCCACTCACGAATGCTTCTTTAGATCTGTGGTGGAGTCGGGGTTAAGCATTGGACTGCTAACTGCAGGGTCAGCAGTTTGAAACCATCAGCAGCTCCTAGAGAGGAAGATGAGACTTCCTACTCCCATAAGGACTTACAGCCTCAGAAATTCACAGTGGCGGCTCGACCCTGACGCAGAGGGAAACTGAGTCCGAATAGACTCAATGACAGTGAGATCCTCCTTTGTTTTCAAATTGTACATCGCAAAGATCAATACCGCTTGATTTCATCTTTGATCAATTTCAAATTGCAAAAGCTGATAAGACTCTCCAGTTTCTTCATCTTTGACATGAATGGTTTGGTGTGTAAATATGAATAATCGTCATTGCTAGCTGGTGTTCCTGGTAGGTGCATGGATCTCATCCTATCTCTGCCCACATTGTATTTCGAGATAAAAGCCCAAACCAAACTTGATGCCATCAAGTCAGTGCTGACTCTGAGCGACCTGCTGTGGGTTTCTGACACCGAAACGGTTTATGGGAGTAGAAAGCCCAGTGTTTTTTCCACAGAGCTGCTGGTGGATCGCAGCCCAATGTGTCCTCACAAGGCCACTGGGGCTTCTGTATTTCAGTACAGATCGTGAAAATTCATTTTGACACTGTCTTTTCTGCCATAAGAGATCACTTCAAAATGCCACGGCCAGTTTATTGCAGTTCACTTAGGATGTTGATTTTCAAGCATTCCGTTGCGTATTTTATACCTTCTAATTTTCCTAAAAATATATTTTATACACCACATTATTGGCTACTAATGGATGTCTGCAGCTCCTTCTCATTTTGAGTAGTGCCACATCAGCCAATGAAAGTCCCCCAAAGCTTTACTTCCTCCCCATAATTAAGGCTGACTACTTTGAGGAGGAGGCTTCTGGAAAGGACATGGAGGCCACATCTGGCCTCTTCTGGCTATGTGAGGGAAAAGGAGAGTCCATGTCCACACCAGCCCCAGGCTGATGGCCAGGGTCCCTCTTCTTTGTTTACGCCATCGGATGCCAGTAGGTGCCTCTCACATACTCCTTTTTTTTGTTTTTTAAGCTGTACTCAGTAATCTGTGGCAATGGCCACACAGAACTCACGGACAACAATCACATTTATGGGGGTTATTAGGGAAGTTAACAGATCACCACAAGCCAGGATCAGGATAAGGACGCAGTCCTCGGTCCACAGCAAGCCCGCTCCTCAGCCAGCATCCGAGTCGCTCTGGTCCTCAGCCGCTTTGCCCCATGTGGGCCAAGAAACCAGCCCGCCGCTCTGCCTCACACTCGCCTAGTGCCCGCACTGCTTCCCTGCACTGTCTCCTGGTCTCCTTGCCTTGGCCCTTGGTCTCCACGTGGCATGGAATCCGCGCCTCTGCCATTTCAGGCAGAGATTTTGAAAGCACTCCACAGGTGGGTCTTCTACCTTGATGGTCCTGAGACTTTGCTCCGTTCTTGCTTCTAAGACGGCTCTCTCATTCGCAGAAGAATGGCCATGAAAACTGACCACAGGCTTCCACTTTTCACACACCCTATTTGCATGGTTCCATCCAATCCCTTGAATGGAGGAGAGATGGATGGAAGTCATGTGAAGAACTTTCGCTTTACCACAAAGCTTTTCCTCCGTCATATTTTCAGAGCCTGTCGACCTAAGAGGCTCATCTCCCAGCGTGCCATTGGGCAAAGTTCCACTGCTGTTCATCGGTTTTCACTGGCCATTGTTTCCAGAAGTAGATTGTCATGTCCTTCTTCCTGGTCTTAGTCTCGAAGCTCCACTGAGACCTATCTACCATGGGTGACCTTGATGGCATTTGACGCCATGGTGGCAACGTTTCCAGCATCTCAAAAACATGTGAGCCACCACAGTGCAACAGATTGGCAGAGGAACGGTGACGCAAGATGGCCCACATAGCATGGGTCACATACATTCTGTTATTATAAGGAAACAAATGAATGGTACTAAATTAGGTACACAATCCCTTACCTGCAATACTGAATTTCCAAAAGTCCTAAAAACGAATTTGGTGTATAAAAAACCAGGCCTAAGCTTACCCGATGAGGTAAGAGTCATAACTTTATTTTTTTCCTTCTGAAAATCTCAATATAGCTAATCATGCTTCACTGTAGAAAAACGTACATGCTTGCTTATGGTATGTGTCCCGAGACTCCACTGATGATGTTTCGTAATATAGAGTATGTCAATCCTAAGATCTTCTAAAACGAGAGAAATTTACACCCCCAAGGCACAGAGGGCATCAAAAGCAGACAAAGGAGTACGCACATGCGCCTCGCTGGAAAATCAAGCCACCGTAGCCTTTGCTCTTTGCAGTTTCCTCTGGAACGGACTAAATCGGCCATCGTTTGGAAAGTAAATTTGACCAACAGTGCAACACGATTGACGCCGTCCTCCCCTTGTCTTTCCCCTGCTTAACTTATCTTCGGTTGTGTTAAATATCAGTGTCCATGCTGCTATTGGTAGGTGCTGTCCAGTCAGAGCTGACTCACAGACCAGCAGAGCAATGCGCTCCCCAGTCCTGTTGCATTGTGCTTATTGTTGCAGCCACTGTGTCAGCCGATGTGCTGAAGGGGCTTCTTCCTTTCCGCTGCCCTCTGCTTTACCGAGCAGGACGCCCTTTCCCAGGGACTGGTCTCTCCTGACAGCGTGTGTTCAATTCATGAGTTGAAGTCTCAACACTCTTGCTTCCAAGGAGCAGGAATCCTGGCTGTACGTCTTCCGAGACAGATCGTTTGTCCTTCTGGAAGGCCATCATGCTCTCTCTATTTTCCACCAACACCGTAATTCAAATGCTTCGACCCTTCTCCTGAGTCATTTCCCAGCTTTCGCACACTGATCAGGCAGTTTAAAATACCTGGGCTTCAGTCAGGCACACCTTAGTCCTCAGAGTGACAACCTCCTTCCTCAGTGTCTTAACGAAGCCCAGTATATCCATTCAGTGTCATACGCTGTCTGATTTCTTCACTGCTGCTTCCATGAGTGATGAGACTGGATCCAACCAAGCTGAAATCCCTGACAACTTCAGTCTTTTCTCCATTTATCACGATGTTGTCTACCGGTCAGGTTGTGTGGCTTTTTGTTCTCTTTACATTGAGTTGTAATCCATACTGATGGCTGGATACATACATCAGCATATATAAACCCACCTTATTCATTTTAATATATAGATTTTCCATCATATGCATGTATCATCATTTGTTTAAGAAATGATGTTTCTTAACATCATTTTTCACATTTCTTCACTCTTAACATGAACATCATCTAACAATGAACAACCCTACCTATATGTTGGCAAGGTTTTCTTGTGTGTGTGCGCATGTTCCATTGGACACCTGTCCTGGCAGTGATAGTGGGTTGGGGTTTCTTTTTGGAGCGGTGACATGTTCTAAAATTAGATTGTGATCATGGCTGCAAACAATGAATATACTGCAGACCACCCAATGGAATACTTTGAGTGGGCCTCTCATATGGCAGGTGAGCACTATGTCAAGATAGTTGTTGAGGGTCTCTGGGAGGTGCAGGTGGTTAATGGCTTGGTTGCCAAATCAAAAGATGCCAGGGGCGCTGAGGACGGGAGGACTGGTGACCTACTGCCGAAAGGCAGCCGCCGGGAACCGCGGAGCACATTTCTACTCGGACTCCCACGGCATGGCCATCAGTCAGCACTGACCCAACAGCCCCTGGCATTCCCCGGGTGAGGACGAGGTATTCACTGGTAGGTGGGAGACGAGAGGAATACTATTCTACGAGGTAGAAATGAGTCACCCACCAAGCCCCCATAATTGTGTCTGAATGTGTTCTTATGCCCATACGAACACAAAGAAAGAAATGGAAGGGTGGAAACCAGGCTGTTCCTGAGATACCTGGGGGTGGGGGTGGGGATTGTAAGGTGTGCAGGGAGGAGAAGGTCACATTCCCTGCTCCCTCCCCAACAAAAGGAAATAAAGATACACCTGTTAAGGTATAACCTATAACTGAACTAAACTACTTATAAAACGAGCCCAATTGTACAAATTTAACACAGCATATGTGTCCGTGTGCACACAGAAGTATCCGAAGGGAGATAAACGAAGTATTGATGGCAGTATCTCTGGATGCTGGCCGGCAGGTGGTTTTAATTTTTCTCCCTTGGACTTGCTGTATTGTTTTCAACTTTTTTGGATAACAATAAACATACAGCTTCTACATTGTCGTTGGGTGCTCCAAGCCATCTCCCCACTCTCAGTGACCCCACCAGAGAGTAGAACGAGGTCAGTTTTCCAAGCTGAAATGTGCACGGAGCTGACTGCTGCCTCTTTCTCCAGAGGGCTGGTGAGCAGTCAAATGCTGAACTGTTGTGCCGCCGAGGTGCCACCTTATCGATGATCACAGGAAGGTTGTTTTTATAAAGAAAGAAGTATTGGTCCTTTTTAAAGCAAGTTTTCTTTGAAAGAAAGCACTCAAGCAGCCATCTGTCTGTTTTGTGTTAAGACGCCAGGTGTCCAAAAATGTCTTCTATGGGGCTCTGAGGGGTGGCTATCCAGTTTCCTAGAAGCATGGAGATTTCGGTATTTTCTTAGGAATTCCCTTAAAAGATACAGGCTCTGCCAGGTGTGGTTTCTGAATCTCTGATCCCAGATTAGCATCTCTTAACTGGGGAGTGGAGAATAATCTTGAGTAAGTAGACATCTCTTGCCAAGGGGAAGGTACAGTCATTCTGGGATTTAGGGCGTGAAGTTAAGGGCAGATCAGAATTAGGCAACTTGAGGCATGTAAAAGATATATATGTATATTAATAATTAAAAAAAAAAGCTAAAGTACTCTGTTTTTTTTCCTGAGCTTAATAACTGCTTTCAGCCATGATTTTGGGCTTGGTTAATTGAACCATTGATTGCAAAGTAAGGATTTGGTTTACAAAGCATCCAGTAGCAAAATACAAACTGAGAGATGGAGTTGTTAAAAGGGACCCAGTCTGGAGCAACTGAGTGCTCTGTGTTGCTTCCTTTCCTGGGACCCACCCATGAGAACACTGGTGCTCGAAGCAGGCGGTCTGCCTTGTCAAAAGTCTCAGCTCATAGGCAAGGGCCCTGGGACATTCAACATGGGCTTATGTTCAGCTATATTCATCTCTTTTCCAAGACTCTTCTAATCGAGTCTACAAGACACATTATTTTTTTTCCTTACACAATTTTTAAATTGTAAACTAGCCTGTGGTTTACATTCCAGATTACCAACTTTTATAGGACCCATTATTTAAAACAAACCAACTCTTTTCTAAAATCCCACTAATGCTAACACTGTTTTTGCTTGACTTGGAAGGCACTGCTAAAGGAGCCCCTGGTGGCATCGTTTTAAGTGCTGGGTGCCTAGCTGAAAGTCTGCACTGTGAGCCTATCTGTCTCCCCGCTCTGCAGGAGGAGATCTGCACCTGCCAGGGGTCACAACCTCAAACGCCTTGCAGGCAGCTCGACTGTCCTACAGGGGTGAGTTTTTTTTTTTTGGTTTGGGTTTTGTCCTATCAAAAGAGTCAGTACTCTGGACACTTCTACACTGGCGAGGGGAAATACATTCTCCGGGAAATCTACAGACGACAATAGCAACGCACCACTGGCAGAAATGCCGGAGTGTTCTTCATACGAAGGCATTCGGAAAGTTCATGAAAAATAGACTGAAAAGAGAACCACATTTCCCCCCATGAATTTTTCGAAGCCCTCATCATTTCCCCAACTGTCAAAACTCTGCTGTGTCTTTAAAGAAAAGATCATGCAATTTAGAGTGGAACACCCCCCCAGAGTCAGTAGAACAGTTTTGAGGAAATTACAAATACTGTCTCAAATGGCTTCACTTTCTCCTTTACACAACCATTCATTAACCCGCACATCTACCACCCCCCCACCCTTCAGCCATCCGTAGCGGCATTGCTGCCCTGCCCTAGCAGAGGGACCAAGAGTTGGCTAAAGCTGGCTTGTAGCTTATAGCCGAGAGGGACATGGACAATTCCAACAGAGCTGGCCTGTACGGAAGTCCGAGCAAGAAGAACTGATGCACACACCCCAGCAGCAGTATTTGAGGGATACACAAAGCATCACAATTTAAGGCAGTCCTCAAAAGGCCTTTGAAATGAGACCTGTGGTATATTTTTAAATATCAATTTTCCTTGTTGGCCTCTCCTTACCTGTAATGATTCCTTAATCCATAGCACCACAACTGTCATCACAAAAGAAATAGGTCTGTCAAACCCTCTGGAGTTCCTAAAAACTCAATGTCACTTTATCTTTTATAAAAGCCCTTGGGGAAAAAGAATTTTTTTTTTTTGCAGACTTGATAGAGTCTTTCTCAAAATTACCTGATTTAAAAAAAAAAAATTACCTGATAATAAAATGACTTTGGAAACCCAACGGAGAATTTCATGGGGATAATGGCAAGTCCTCTTTTCTTCCAATAATGCTGCTGGTTAAATTCCTCAGCAGCCTTTCTCCTGATATAGTAGGAGGAGCTCTCCAGACATTTCTCCCAGCATCTTCTCAAATTCTTTGGATCAAATTCTTGCTTGTGAATGGTCTTATCAATTGCTTTGTACATGTTTAACTCCCTAACCTGGTGGAGGAAAAGACCAAACTTCACAACAAGATCCACCAAGAGCGAGTCTGTGGCAGAGATGAACCTTTCGATTATTCTGGAATCCACCAGTTAAGAATTTCACCGAAAGCGAATCAGACCTGCTAGAGATCACATGATTTTGAGCACGGAAAGACTGGACTTTTGTGTGTGAAGAACCAAATGCTTTCAAGTTACCCTCTCCGGCGGCAGGTTGCATTTGGCCGCCACGGCGGCCAGCCAGACTTCGGTTACAAACGCTCCCTGGGGGAACCCAAAGCCCCGGAAGGCTGTATTGGATGGCAAATTGGTCTTGCAGGCACGTCCTCGGACACGCAGATTGGGAATTTTATAAGCGTTTTCCAGTTTGAGCAAAGCGTATTCTATTACCTGAAAAACATTCCCAGGTGAAAAGTGAATTAGCATAATGAACTCTGGGTTGATATCATCTTACGCAGGCACTAATCAAATCCTCTAAAGCGTCCTAGTGGTGCACCAGTTCAGCTCTCAGCTCTTAACTAAAGGCGGCTGCTCACACACCACACCAGACAGAACGGCCTGGTGAGCTGCCTCGTCAAAGGAAACCCGATGGCATAATTTCACTCTGTCACGATGAGTCAGAATGGATTTGATGGGTCACTCATCAAATTTCCCTTCCAGCCAGGAGACATTCCAGCCCTTTGGAGAGGTATTCCTCTATTCATTTCTCACAGGCAACTACCACGAGGGACCTCCCACGTTTCCGAACTACTAGAGCGACCAACTATTCATACTAAGTTATAGGCATTTTATTTATGTATCTGTACTTATATATGTAGATGAGAAATGTCACTGTAATGCAAACTAATCAATGTTCGGTATTTGACATGCTAACAACTTCATATTAGCATTAAAAAATCTAACACCCTAAAAAAAATGCTATCATGAGCACTCTGGCCTTTTATTGTCCCTTAAGCTAGACACTTCCAACCATTGAATCTGTTCTGTGATGTTTTCCCTTTCTTTGCCATACACAAGTCATGAAGTTTTAAGAACAGTCCAAAATTTCCGTTAACGGCCTGATCAAAAAGATCTGACTGCTCCACGGACCTCCGCTTTCATGATTCCGAGACCCGGAGAACTAGATGCGGCCCGGCCACCCCTGCCGATAGCTTTTACAGTGATCACAGGAGACGGTTCCGGTAGAGTGGAAGACAGACTCGGGACAGAACGCAATGCCGTAAACCAAGATCAGGCTTACTGGAATCCCTGAGACTGCGGCCCTCAGTCACCCTGCAGGCCTGGACAGGACTCACCCTCATTATTCGATTTTCAGAGAAACAATAGATAAGCCTATTAAGGGAATGATAGAGCTAGTGAGGTGCACACTCCTTTGAAAACTCAACCATTTTTCTGAGATCAAAGGGGCAGCATTTATCCAAGGACAAAATTCAGGAAGCAGGAAGGATTAGGAACAGAGGAGGAATGGAAGTGGGAAACACATAGAAGAAATGAGATAATTAATGACACAGCGCAAAACATGTATGAATCGTTGAATAGAAAACTGATTTTCTCTGTAAAACCTTTACCCAATTAAAAATAAAAAGTTTAAAAACCAACAAATAAAAAGTGTACATTGTGCCAATAGCTTAGCAGGACTGTCCCCTTGCTCCTAACCCCCTGAGTCTGACTTCGGTGCAGAAAACAGGAGAAAACCCAACTGTTCCCAATGGGTACAAGCACGCCCAACCGGCCAACCTTGTTTTGGAGAGAGGGCACATGACTGCTTTCTGGAGGGCAGAGCAACGCCTCCCCTCTTCCCGTACATTCCAACACACGCTGGTTTCTTAGATTAGAAAATGTTTACTCTGAGCATTAAAACCACAGCTCTGGGTGTTGTAAAGCCACGGCTGGGTGAGTCGTGATATTTCCATCTATCTCATCTGCAAGTGAGGTGGACTGTGGCTGTCTGTCTTTCTCTTTTCATGTTTGAAATGAACCTGTATGTCGTTAGAGACGCCAAATCCACTTCAGCTTTACTTTTCCTCCTTGTTTTAGCTAATATTTAGACTAGAAGGGCAAGGGATCTGGAGGTTTGGGTTTCCTCCCTCCCATGAAGCAGTTTTTTTACTTTATTTATTTCTGTATATATATTTTTTGTGTTAAATATTCCTTTTTTATTTTGGCCCTCCCCAAAACTACCTCTTGTGATTTTCTGTTCTAGGACTTGGTAGGGAGCAAAGGTGCATCTCCCAGTGAGATGAGCCCAGAGGAAAACTAATTCAGAAACTTCTAAGTAGGCAGAAACATTTGGTGGGGGGGTGGAGAAGAGCCAAGTAGGTCAATGATGTCTTCATCTATTGTCAAGGGGATTAGACTGTGAACGAAAGGAGCCTTGTGTGGGACTTGGGGTAATTTTGAAACAAGAGGCTTTGTAGATGAGGCTCGGGCTCCAGGGAGAGAGGAAATTCTGGGAAGTGTGTATGTAATTAAGTTACCCCTGGCATAAATAGAAGAGAGATTTGCATGGGAGGGGTCCTACCTAACCTTTGTTCTCCTTCCAGGTGCCAGTGTGTCCTTCCCTAGTTTAGTTTCTGATGGCCGCTGTAACAAACCACCACAAGACTTTAAAAACAATATAAATACAATTCTCTTTGGTGTTCTGGAAATCAGGGTGTCAGCATGATTAGCTCCTTCTGGGGACAGAGGGAAAACCTGATTCATGCCTCTCTCTGAGCTTCTGATAGTTTTCTTTGGCTTGTAGACCACTCTTCAAACTCTACCTTCATCTTCACCTGGCTTTTCCTCTGGGTCCTTCTGTGTCTCAAATGTCCCTCTATCTTCTCTTAAAAGGACACCATTATTAGATGTAGGGACCATCCTAAATCCAGGATGATCTCATTCCAAGATTCTTAACTTAAGTACGTCTGCAAAGACCCTATTTCCAAATACGATTACATCCACAGGTACTAGGTATGAGGAGTTAGAGATAACTTTTGGGAGGACACTATTCAGCTCACTAAGGAGTCCCTGGATAATATAAACAAAAGGTCATTAAATTTAAGCCCACTAAGAATTGTCTTGAAAGAAATATCTGGGAATCTGCTTTTGAAAGGCCACGCAGCCTTGTCTATGGTCATACCACCTTGAATGTACCTGATCTTGTCTGATCTTGGAAGCTAAGCAGGATCGGTCCTGGCTCGTATTTGGGTGGGAGAATGGTGACAGCCTGGAAAACTCTACTCAGTGGTGACCTCAAGGGTTGAAATCGACTCAGCATCAACTTTCTTTTTTTTAAAAAAGTTTGATTTACTAACTTACTATATTTCTTGATCCCCACTGGCCTTGTCTAGGGTGAGGAGGTGGGAAAAGAAGAGGGATAGAAATAAGCGATCTCAAAGTGTTTGTTTGTTTGTTTGTTTGTTTGGGGGTGGCACATCATGACTAGAGTAGCGAATGAAAACGAGGGCTGAGTATGCTCCGTGACAGTGTCTCAAGCACCAGAGAAACCCAGCAGCTCCCTGGCGGCCTCACAGCAGAGAGGTCGCGTTCTCAAGGTGCTCAAATCATCTTTGTTCACAACTGGAAGCACATACAAGATGAGCATGAGTCAGAATAGACAACAGACCTTCTTAAGCAATGCTCTTAGAAACCAAGCTCACATTTACTCCATCACCCCACATAACTGGAACGCTGAGCCCACATACCATTTCAGATTCATCTGGTGTGCAGCCTCCGTTGATGTGATATTCAATGTCTGCTGCCTCAATCTTCCCATTGTTCATAAAGCCCACCTATGAATTATAAATGATACTTATGTCAGTGAGCATGTGAAGTTCAGGTGCTGTGCCTGGGCATTTGAAGAATACAAGCGGGGATCCTTTTTAGTTCTATTAAGAGCGTGGGTTGGTGAGTCAGAATGCCTGGGTTAAACTCTGGTTTCACCATTTACGAGCTGAACAACTTTGGGCAAGCCATGCGATCTTTCCGTGCCCCAGTAATCCCCTGTGTGCAAATGGGATACAATTCTTTCCTAATCTTCCATTTTTAACATGCATCTCCATCACTTGGACATTAACCAACACATGGATGATGGAACAGACTGCAGGAAATGGCGGCTCGGTCAGGGAAGTTTCTTAGACAGGTGATATTGGAACAAAGATTTGTTTCTACCTCTGCTGTTGTTCAGTGCCATTGAGTCAGTTCCAACCCATATGGACACCAAGCGGAATGAAACACTGTTTGGGGAAAAAAAAAAAGAAACACTGTTCGGTGCTGTGCCATCCTCACAAGTTTTTCTACTCAGGGTCCCATTTCTGCAGCCATTGTGTCTGTCCATCTCATTGAGGGCCTTCCCCTCTTTGGATACGCTTCTGCTTTACCCAACAAAATGCCCTTCTCCTGACCACCTGTCTAATGCGTGTAACATGAAGTCTTGCCATCCTTGACTCTAAGGAGCGTTATGTCTGCCCTTCTTCCAAGAGACTTGTTTGTCCCTTTAGAAGTCCACAGTACTTTCAATAGTCTTCACCAGCACCACAGTTCAGAAGCATCCATTCTTCTTCAGTCTTCCTTATTCACTGTCCAACTTTCACATGCATAAGCGTACATATGAGGCCATTGAAAATACCATGGCTGTGTCAGGCACACCTGACTCCTCAAAGCAACTGCTTTGCAACACTCTAACAAGATCTGGTGCAGCAGGTTTACCCAATGCAATGTGCCATTTGGTCTCGGGACTGCTGCTTCCATGAGAATTAACAGTGGGTCCCAGCAAGACAAAATCCTTCAATCTTTTCTCCATGTATCATGATGCTACCTATTGGTCCAGTTAGAAGATTTATGGTCTTCTTTACATTGAGGTGAATCCATACCGAACACAGCAATCCTTGATTTTCATCAGCAAGTGCTTCAAGTCCTCCTCACTTTTAGTAAGCAAGGTTGTGTCATCTACATATGGCAGCTTGTTTATAAGCCTTCCTCCAATCCTGGCGCCACAATCTTCTTCATATTAACCAGCTTATTTGACGATTTGCTCAGCTTACAAATTGAACAAGTATGGTGAGAGGATATAACCCCATCACAGACCTTTCCCAGTCTCAAACCATGCAGTATTCTCTTGTTCTGCTCATACAACTGCCTCTTGATCTATGCATAACTTCTATAAGAACATAAATAAGTGTTCTGGAATTCCCATTCTTCTCAAAATTATCCATAGTTTGTTATGATCCACCCAGTCAAATGCTTTCGCATAGCCAGTAAAAGACAAGCAAACATCTTTCTAGTATTCTCTGCTTTGAGCCAAGATCCATCGGACATCAGCAGTAAGATCCTTTGTTCCACGTCCTCTTCTGAAGCCAGGCTAAACTTCAGGCAACTCCCGACTTTCAAAATACTGCTGCAACCATTGTGGGATCATCTTCCACAAAATTATACTTGCATGTGACATCAGTGATATTGTCCTATAATATGAGCATTCGGTTGGGTCATCTTTCTGTGGAATGTATACAACCATGGGTTTCTAGCAGTCAGTTAGCCAAGTAGCTGTCCTCCTAATTTCCTGGCATGCAAGTTCAGTAAGTGCCCCCGATGCTTCCTCAGTCTGTTGAAACACTTCACTTGGTAGTCTATCTATTCCTGGAGACTGGTTTGGCTGATGCTTTCAGTATAGCTTAAACTTTTTTCTTTAGCCCCATGGATTCTTCTTCAATGGTTTTTATGCTTGGACATGGCAGAATGTTGGCCACTTCTTTCAGGGACAGCGAGCCTGTGCATTCTTTCCATCTTCTTTTAATGTTTCCGGCACTATTCACTATTTTGTCCATAAAATCCTTCACTATTGCAACTTGAGGCTTGAATTTTTCTCTTGAGTTCTTTCAGTTTCAGATCTGCTGAGCTTGTTCTTCCTCTTTGGTTTTCTAACTTCAGGTCTTTGCATACTTCATTATCATATTTTATTTTGTCTTTTTGAGCTGCCCTTTGAAATGTTCTGTTCAGCTCTTTGACTTCATTGCTTCTTCCATTTGCCTTAGCTAACCTATGATTAAGAGCAAGTTTCAGGGTCTCTTCTGACACCCTCTTTGACATATTCTTTCTAATGACCTTTTGCTTTCTTAATGATGCTATGGATGCCCCCCCCCCATCTCATCAGGTCTTCCATCATTGGTGTTCAAATATATTCTTGAAAGGTCCTCAAAATTCAGGTGGGATAGATTCAAGATCATACTTTTGCTCTTATGAACTTACTTTAATTTTCTTCAGCTTCAACTTGAAGTTACCGATGAGAAATTGATGGTCTGTTCCACAGTCAGCCACTGGCCTGGTTTTAGTTGTTGATATTGCGTTTCTTCCTTGTCTCTTCCCACAGACATAGTTCTAATCCATAAGGCTGTGGAAATCACTCCAACGTTTGTACATTTGAGTTGAGAAATCTCTGGGTGAGAATCAATAGCTCTCTTTGACAGACTGAAATGTCGTGGTATTTGTGATGTAAAAGGTAGAGCAATCTGATTGCCTGGGTAATGTGTGGGTAAGTATGGAGATCTACAGATATTTGAAACTGAAAGTCAGTTAATCCCTTAATTTGTCTATCTTATTTGTAATGACCTTCATATCTACTTACCTTGTATTTCCCAAGAAGTGGGTGGCGTCCTCCTGTAATTAACATGTCATCCCCACGCTCTAGAATAAAACGGATTGGGTGACCAGTTCTGAAGAGAAAAAACAAAAACAAAAAAACCCCATAATTTTTTGAGATTTGAGATTGAGAGGTCAGGTGTGTGGAATATTACAGGAACCCCTGACCACCCAGTGAAGATACAAGAAGGAACACCCACTGTCATCAAGTTAATCTAACTCATAGCAACACTGTCACAGCAGAACTGCTCCACAGGGTTTTCAATTCTGTAAATCTCTATGGGAGCAAACGCCTTCAACTTTCTTCTTTAGAGCAGCTAGGGAGGGTTTGAACTGCCACTTTTATGGTCAGCAGCCCAGCACTTAACACGCTATACCAACAAGGTGCCTTTCCTCCTGAAGGAAAACAAGGTCAAAACCCAACTCACTGCCATCAAGTGGAGTTCAATTTATAGCAACCCTGTTGGACAGAGTGAAACACCCCCTGTGGGTTTCCTAGACTGTAACTCTTTATGGGAGTAGAAAGCCTTGTCTTACTCCTATGGAGTGGCTGGTGGCTTCAACCTTCTGACTTCTGACTTCGTAGTTAGCAGTTCAACTTGTAACTACGCCACCTGAACTTCTAGGGAGCTATACATTTCTTGCTTGTATGAAGCTGCTCGTATGTCTGAGAAGTTCCTTTTATCTTGCTCGCTTTTAGGAGCCGAGATAGACTAAGCTTCGAGGGGCTTGTTTGTACTGAACTGCCAGTAGGAGTGGGCATAAGCAGCTGTTCATTGAACAGCCTCAGTGTAAGTTGGGAATTTAAATCCTCTGATGTTTGAGGTTTCTGTGATTCACTTATTATGCTTCTAAGGACCTAACTCTTCATTTATATCAATGACATTTATTGTCAACTGACCTCCAAGTTAATTTTTCACCTTATTTTTTATTGTGATTTGGGTGAGAGTTTATAGAACAAATTGGTTTTCCATCAACAATGCATACACGGTTTGTTTTGACATTGTTTGCAGTCATTGCGCTGTAATAGCACTCTTCCAGGAAAACACCACCCACCCCAGATTATCACCCCCCTTTCTTTCTGATCCTTCCAGCCTTCTGAGCTTTCTCCAGGGCAGAGGCTGATGGTTCTAATGAGTTATTGTTGTAAATGGTGTTCTCGTTCTCCCTAAAGGTCAATTGTTTGCCTGGAAGTTGAGCCACTGGGATGAGTTCAATTCCAAGCTTGCAGGGTATCTAAGGGCCATGGTCCTGGAGGGTCTACAAATCTGTATCTAACCATAAGCCTGCTCTTTTTGGTGAGTTTCGCGTCACATTTCTCATGCACTCTATGCAGAGCCTGCAGCTATGGCCCCTTTCGGAGTGGTTGGTAGTGGGTATCTGGTTTTTCTCATCTCAGGGCCATGGTGCCTGAGGTTTGCATAGGTCCCATCCAGACTACTGCTGTTGTTCAAGGAATCTTCTCTGGACACTTTCTTTTTTAATCCATTCCTATAAGAGCCGTCGAGGCTACCTTCCATGGAAGCATCTCTTTGACTGACTCCCATCCTTAGAAACTGGTGGTGGCTCCTTAGGTGTAATGAGACCCACACTTAATCTTCCTTTAAGATTTCCCTGAGGATTACTTTCTTTTAAATGCACTTAAGATCACAGTCCACCCAATTTGGGTTGGACTCCTAAAACCGAACACTGCCTGGTAGCCTTTGTCCTTTTGTTCTTTCCTGGAAAGTGATGTGTGCTCATGACCCCTGGATACACTCCCAGAAGCTTGGTGTCATGAAGACATACCTGGCCTGCTTTGGAAAGACAGGATTTGGGATATGGTCCTTCCAGCATCATATTTGTCTTCTGTTACTAGTTGTGTAAATCAGTGATGGTTACCTTTCAAAAAGCATAACTAATTTTATCTGATAAATAATATAGACATGCATCACAAAGCTAAAAAAGGAATTCAATAAGGAATGCCCCTCCCTCTCCTGTTCCCCAACCATACAGGTGTTTTCTGGAAGTACAACTGTCAGCAAGTTCTTGAGTAAAATTAGATGCTAAGTACATTTAATTTTTGAGATGTTATCAGATAGCCTCTCACTCAGAAGCCTGAGAACCAGGTCTAAATATTCTTACCCCTCCCCCTAACTTCTAAATCGTATAGCGTTCTGCCCACGTCTCAGTAAATACTGCTGACGAAACAAATGTGCCCATTTCGTATATGCTTAATTCCTGAGACTTCTGAGAAACCAGAAGACCTCTCAGGTAGAAGCAGTGCGATTATTGAAGTCGAGTCCAATAGTCTGACACTCTTCAGTAGTTATAAAGCACAAGAGAAGTGTCCCCAACTTTGTGGCACATGGTAGTGGTCCAAGTTCATTAGACCCAGATGGTAATGGCTACCCACTGCTAGTCAGTCTCTTCCTCCTTGGCCTGGAGCCTTGAGAGCCTTTGGAGAGACCTCCTGGGTGTTCACCTGATGGGGAGGGGAGGGCTGAGAGAGAAAGGCGGAGAACCCCAAGTCATAGGCACACTTACTTATTTGCCGCCACAGCTGCCATCGCTGCAAGGGATGCCGGCTTGCTGGCTTTTCCTCCAAAGGCTCCCCCAACTCTTTTCACATGGCAATTGATCCTGTTCTTTGGCACACCCAAGGTATGAGCCACCATTTCCTGTACATGAATCGGGGCTTGGTTAGAGGCCTCCAGTAAGTGACTCAAAATTTGCATGATAAACAAGGGTCTTATTTATCAAAATAGGAAATCCTATTTTTTCCGTATTACCCAGCATTTAAAATATGTTTTTGTCACTTGGTGGGGGAGGAGGGGACTGGAGAGACTGCAATCTATAAACGTGTGCAAAACCTAAGTTGAGGAAATCAATTGCTATCATGCTTATCCCACTGCGAGGGGCACCAAGAGAATCACAATGAGTCCATTCTCCCTCTCCTTGGCTTGGCAACCTTGGCTGTCCCTCTAGGAGGCACCTGAGGCTCCGGCTTCATAAATATTAGCGTGATCATGTGTAGACAGTCAGAGGGAGCACTACACCATCTGGAGAAAAACCCTCAAAATGCTGCATCGGTGGGCAAGCCCCGGCAGCAGTGATGTGACAGGAATGTCCAGCTGGGTTGCTGCCCAGCCGGTGGGCGGTTGTAATGGAAGCCTTGCAGCAGCACAGGGAGAGGAGATTTAAAGAAAGATGTCCCCCAGGGTCAACTCAGATATCTATCGGGAGAGAATTGCTGGGCAGAATCTGCACACGAGCTACCTCTAACTCGCACTTGGAGAGGGAGCTGGAGAGCAGAGCTGGAGGGCTCCTGGGTCCGAGGCCCTGGACATAGTGGGAGGCAGTCTTTGTAGTGAGTGATGGGGGACTGGGGGTCAAGCTTCTGAGGAAAATCCATGGTGGACTTGCAGTCTGTGAGAACTGAGAAGAATAGTAGCAGTGAGGAAGGTCATGAATCAGAGACATGCTGTCCATGGAGCGGCGTGGGCTCAGGAGGAGAAGAACAATGACAAAACTCAGTTGCCTGTGAGTGGATTTCTATATTTTTGGTGACCTTATGTGAACAAGTTTGTCAATAGGTGCTTTTTTATTTTCCTTAGAAGCAAATCTCTGGGACTTTCTTCTGAAACATCTCTGGCAGACTTGAACTTCCAACCTTTCTGTTAGCAGTTGAAGATGATACCTGGTTCTATCTCCTGGGGACTCCAAAGAAAACAATAGAAACACACAAATAGCATAATATTGGGGCAGAGAAATAAAATAAGGCTAGAGACTAGTCTTTTAGCGGCAACTGATTGAGGATATCAATTTGTGGATCTGAGATGAATTGAAAAATGAATATCAAAGCACCACTACATGTAGCTTCTTTTTTATTTTCTAAAATTATTACATTCCAGTTCAGAATGTCTTTCAACTGTAACTGGATTAATGGTAACTTGGGGTATGGCGGGGAGTCGGGGAGGGGCTGACGGGGAACGGGAAGGGTGAGCTAATAGTGATGAGGACAAGAAAGAAGAAAGTGTTCCAAACCTGATTGTAGTGATGATTTCACAATTCTTCTTGATATGAACGAACAATTGAATTGTATGATATGTGAATTACATGCCAATAAAGCTTGTGGGGCAAAATGTCTTTCAAGATTTAGAAATGCATACCTAATCGCTGTCTGAGACAAATTAGAGATAGACTTTGTCTCGATCTCAATGCCAACCATTTGGCTAAGACAACACAAGACTTGGGTTCCAAGGTCATAAATCAAGAAAGTGACCCCTCCCTCGGAAGCTCACTGACTGCGACACCAGAAACAATCATTGAGAAGGACCCACCTGTGTAAACGCTGCATCCTGACTTGACACATATATGTCCACTTCCTTATCTTCTGCCTTTGGGACCACAAGAACACTTTGAGTTTCCATATAAAAATGTTCCTGTCCTCCAAAGTGCACTTCCCCTGTTGAACACAACAAGCAGATGGGTTCTTAGTTTTAGAGATACTTAATGAAAATATATTCAAAACAGAGTTCAAAGTAGTTTGCTACATGGGACCATTATCATGGAGATAACGTTGAGATTTCTAAGAATCATTATTGTGTGGCAAGACTTGCAGGCAGGTCTTATTGTCCATTAATCACTCAACAGTTATGTGCAAGTGACAAATCTCCCACACACTTGGCTTCATTTTCCTACGTGCCGACATCAGCGGTGATCATAAATAGAAGCCAATTATTATGAACTTGATCAACAACTCAATCATCAGATAAGGATAAAATATGGGACGTTGAGCTAAGGAGGAACTAATTTCTATCACAAAAGTGCCTGGAGGACTGGCTTTCCCTCTCGAGCAGATAGAAACTTGTGCTTCAAAAGCACGCGCCCTGCCAGTCTTATGTGTTCCTTCTGTTTCCTAGAAAGATTAAACCCCACATGACAATGTAAGTATCTACTGAGAGCCCTCATTAAAACCCACAGGGAGCACAGCTACAAAGAATCAATGGGTGTATGCGGTGGAAGGAGGGAGAAAAGTAGATCAATTTTTTTTTCAAATTATCATTTTATAAAAATTTAATCATATTTTGAAATGACAATTTTCCCCCATACCCCATTTCCCCCTCCTTCTAGCCTTCAAAGTCTACTTCGTTTGGCGTCTTCAATAAGTTGGAGATGACACAGTAAAGTATCAGAGTCATTGGAAAGGCTTGGTTTAACATTGCGTGAACGCTGCTTCAATCTAAGTTTTGGATTAGATGGACAAGACAGTTAAAAAGAAATTCTATAACTGTAATCAACCCTAAGTCTATAGAAAAGGCATCCCGGAATTATTAGCTTCATCCAGTTTTCATTCTCTAGATGATAGAAGTTGGGGAATCTAAAAATAACTTCAAAGGGAACTATCATTGAGATTCTTTCTGTAGGTTCCTCTCTCATTCTTTGCCTCTGTCTCTCTCTTCCATTCTCTCCTGAGTTTGCTGACTGTTTCTCATTAATCAGTCGTAGCACTGAGTCCTCTTCTCTCACTCCCTTTTTCTAATCTTTTTATTTGGAAACCATCTCCAAATCTCTGTAGAAGGAGGTGAGATAAATGTCTTTGAAAATATTTTTTCAGATATTATTTTCTCAATTAGTGTTGCCATATAAAAACAAACAAACAAACAGACAGGACCCCTGCTATCGCATGATTCTGTTTCCGCGTGACTCCACAGGACAGAGGAGAACTGCCCTGTGGGTTTCTAAGGCTGTAAATCTTTAAGGGAGTAGAACGCCTCACCTGTCTCCCATGGAGCAGCGAGTGGTTTTGAACTGTTACCATGTTTAACTATTTAAACTACAATGTAAACCACACCCCCACGGTCTCTTCCAGGTCCACATCTAGACCCAGCTTCTCTACGTTGCTTGGACACCCTTCTGATAGCTTGTGGGCATTTCCTTGGGAGTGGTCTGTTAGCCCCTCCAACTCATCTCCTGCCAGTGTCCAAAGAAGTCGTGATGACCCCATGTTGTTAGTGACACCTGTTCTTCAGCCAACCCATCTCTAATGTTACTACAAGCAAATAACCGATTAAATATGTCTTATACTTATGCGCTCATTTCTACCCCATGACATCACTGATGATCTTTCACTTGGCACACTGGAATGACCTTTGGCCCTCTCTCTGGTGGATGGCCTCTTCCCATGTCACAGAGAATGGACTTCCAAGTGTATTAAAGGGCAACTTTGATCCTGACCTCCTCTCAGTCAAAAGCTCAAATGCCTTGCATAGTTTATGGAAGCAGTAAAAATTACTGGGCCAAGGATTACCCCTGCTCTCTGAGCCCAGTGCTATGGGTTGTCTACCTCTCTGCTTATTCCCATAAGAGGAACCAAGATGAGGTTACTGCCTGCAAAGCCACAGAACAAGCATCGTTGACGCACATTGCACTACCGTCCACTGACCTCCCATGAACAGGACTTAAACATTCACCTTCGATGATTTGATCAACAGATTGAAATGCCGCCTCAATGTTTCCTTGTTCTAATTTTTTCTCAGGTCCAATGAATGATCTGTGTTTTATTGCATCCTGTGAGCAACAGCACATAAAATGGTGTTACCATTGTAGTAGCTCAACGCAAGTTTTCCAGCATTGTCCCTATGACGCATGATGTGAACCATCACTCTCAGAATTTCCTAGATGGGCCCATTTTCAACAAATATTGTTGCATTTCTTGGAGAAGGTATCATGACCTGGGAAAGTTCAGAAAACGCAACCACCATATACTGGGGTCCCATCATATGTATAATCAGCTTACCCTTGATTGGGACTCCTTGCATTTCTTTACGTTTCTTTAAGGCCAAACAGATCTATTATAGAAATGAGATTAGACTAAACACTGTGGGCGAGCAGGTATGCTTTAGAATTCTCCTCCTGCCTTCCATTCCGGGCCAGGAATTGGATGGGTATCTTAGAGAAGAATGCTTTAGGATTTATCTACAGAGACCTGTAAAGACACTAAACCTTTGTTTTTTACTTTTGTCAAGTGACTTTTAAACTTCAGTCTTTTTTTTAAGATCATTTTATTGGGGGCTCTTACAGCTTATCACAATCCGTACATCAATTGTATCAAGCTTATTTGTACATATGTTGCCATTATTCTTTTCTAGACATTTACTTTCTATTGAGCCCTTGGTATCAGCTTCTCCTTTTTCCCTCCCTCCCCCTCCACCCTTGTGACCCTTTGATAAATTATAACTTAGTATTATTATTTTCACATCTTACACAGACTGCTGTCTCCCTTCTGTTGTTTTTCCCCGGGGTGGTGGTGGTGGTGGTGGTGGTGGTGGTGGTGGTGGTGGTGGTGGTGGTGGTGGTGGTGGTAATGTGTTGATCATTATGATTGGTTCCCTTCCTTCCGTCCTCTTCCCACCTACCCCCTACCTTCCTAATATTGCTACTCCCATTCCTGTTCCTGAATTCTGTGTGCTGTGAGCTCTTATCTCTTATCTGTACCTGTGCACATGCTCTGTCTGGTCTAGCCTGCAGTGAAAGGCAGGACTGGGGTCTTGATAGTGGTGGGTGAGGAAGCCTCAAGGAACCAGAGGAGTACTGTGTTTCCTCAGTGCTATGCTGTGCTTTGGTTCACTCATTCCTTCCTTGTGACCCTTCTGTGATGGGATGTCCTATTGTCTACAGATGGGTTGGGGTCTCTGCTCAGACCCCACCTTATTCTCAGCAATTTGTTTTTGTTTGTTTTGGGTCTTCTGTTGCCTGTTACCTGATTCCATCAACACCATGATTGCCCAGAGTGGTGTGCTTCTTCCAGGTGGGGTTGTTGCTTCTCTGCTAAATGGCCGCTGTTTAACTTCAAGCCTCTAAGACCCCAGACAATATATGTTTTGATAGCCGGGCACCATCAGCTTTCTTTGCCAAATTTGCTTATGCACCCATTTTGTATTCAGTGATTGTGCCAGGAGGGTGAGCATCACAGAACACCAGGTTGTTTGAACAAAGTGTTCTTGCATTGAGGGAGGGCATGAGCATGAGGGATGGCCTAAAGTCCATCCACTACCTCAATGTAACTTCAGTTTTCAAAGCATGACTGAATCGGAGTCTATGGGTAAAGCTTATGTTTTGGGGGACGTTACTTTATGGATATTTTAAGGGATATTTTAAAAGGTTACTTTTAAATATTTTCAAAATTAACTAACACATAATGGTTTAAAGCAGAAACAATAAAAAAGGCATTTTAATGATGAGTCTTGTTCCTACCCCAGCCCTCTGTCCAGTTTTCACCCATACCGACCACAGGAGTTATGGTTACTCTCCCTCTCTCTCTCTTTTCCTCACTCTCTTTTTTTAATGCATTTTATTGTGAATTAGGTGGGGATTTATATTTTATAGCCTCATTTTTTGTATTCTACAATTTAAACAACTTATCAAATCTCCCCAAAGCTTGTCCTGCCTCTCTTTAATCTCTTCTCTTTCTGCAGAATACTGTTTTCACCTTAGCTGTGCAAGCAAATATGATCAGGTATTATGACTCCTATTTTAATCTACCTTTTTGTGCCCCTTTCTTTCATTTATCAATAGAACTTAGCATTGTGTACTGATGCTTACAGAACATCTTTACCTTTTAATATACACAACTTTCTAGAATTACTTTTTATAAATACCTAGATAGACAATTGTGTGGTTTCCTGTTGTTAACTGCTACGAACAATACTGCAATGAATAGCTTTGAAGACATATTATTTTGCATGTCCACAAGCTAACATGAGGAATGAGTTATCAGAGTGGAGTTGTTAGATCAAAGAATACAAGTATATAAGTTAGGCATTTATATAGGTATTGTTAAATTCCCTTTCATAGGGGTCATTACAAGTTATACTCCCATCAACAATACTCCTTGGTTTCTAGGAAATCATTACTTGTTAAAGAGATCAGGTCATTGTCTGTGGTCTACTTTGCAGTTACCCCCCACCCCCCAATTCAATGTTTGTCTTTTGACTATTGCATATTAAATTCTTGTTTTGCGATTTGTTATGTAAATGAATTTATCCATCACTCCTTTTATGGAATTTAGAGTTTGAGTCATAGATAGATAGATGAGTACTATAAAGGAATTCTCCCAGAGTTTCTTCTTTGGATTGTATTGTTTCAATATTGAAATTTTAATTTTTGAGTCAACTTTATACTGGCTCATCTTGGTCAAATGTAAACTAGGTTAAAGTTAATTCTTGATTTTCACTTAGGAGCCGACTCTCAGATAGGACTCCATGGTATTCATTTGAGAACACATCTCCAGTTTCTGTCCGTGGGTAAAAGAGCAGAGGGAGCCTGTAGGCTGTCCAACCTGGCTGGTGCAATGTTAAGAAGCCTCTCGTGGTCTTTCCTTTAAGCAAGAGTATACCTCCCTCTCTGCGGGAGCTCTTGGGAGTGTGTGAAAGGAATCACTACAACATTACCTTGGAAAGTGGCAGAAAGTGCAAGAAAAGAGCAATTCATTTTGTGGGGAGTGAGCTGGTTTTAACTGGGGCAAGAGAAATCTCAATGGAAGTGAAGGACCCAGGACAGCTGGAAAATGAGACAAACTAAATGAAACACATTTTGCATTTGAAAGTACTAAAATCCACCTAATTTTCTAGGATTCAGCTGCCAAGTTTGGAATTGGAGCTTTCCCCAGTGGTTTCTCTCTTTAGTGAACCAAACCAAACTCACTGCCATCAAGCCAATTCTGACTCATAGTGACTTTATAGGACAGAATAGAACTGCTCCTGTGCGTTTCTGAAAAGATAAATCTGTATGGGAGTAGAAAGCCTCATCTTCCTTTCACATAGTGGCCAGTGGTTTCAAATTGCTGTACTTGCAGTTGGTAGCCCCAAAATGGAACCCTTTATGCCACCAGGGCTCGTGTCCCGTTAGGGGAGCAAGAAGCATTTCAGTTGTACTACACTGGTCACCCTGTGAACAGGGAGGAACCCATTCCTAGCCAGGGGCATCTGGGGGTGACAGAAAGAAAGGCAGTCTGTGATAGTTAGATTTTCTGGCTCCCATAGGAACATGTGGGTCAGGTTTAGCCTGTCAACCAGATCACAGCTTGATTGGCTGGCTACCAAGATAAATGGCTTTCTGAGGCCAGACTCCTTCTCTCTTTCTCCCTGGTGATTGGATCAGTGCGCTGCTGCCTAAGCTAGTCCTTGGCCTCAACTGTGTGCTGCAATACCTGTGGGCTGAGCCAACCCAAGGATTGTGCTGCAATGCTGTGCGCTGCTAGAGCTTGAGGTTCCGTTGGGACCTGCTTAGCTACCTATACTGCTGAGCTATTGATCTCAGCTACACCTTGACTTCTCATCTTCCTACTGTTGCTGCCCTGCCTTGCTGAATCTGCTGCCTTCAGGCTGACTCTGCTCGTCTTGCCTGAGGGCAGATTCTGCTGTCTGCTTCCTTGACTTTGGACCAGCAGTGGCGTGAGTTGAAGGCCCTTCAACTATAGATAGATGATAGATAGATAGATAAATAGATAGATAGATAGATAGATAGATAGATAAACTATATATAGATTAACCCTCAAAAGTGGGTTGAACTGAGTCCTCTGTACTGCTGTGTGAACTAGTTAATTCTTGTATTCCTTCTATATCTTTTATATCTATATATCCTTCTATATTTATATAATCATAAATATCCTGGTTTTGTTTCTCTAGAGAGCCCTGCCTAATACATAGTCCTTCCAGAAGACCAGGAAGGATTAGGGGGACCAAAGTTTTGGAATGGCTGGACCTTTTAGGAGAAAACATACTGTTCACATTGTGTTATTGCCTCATCAGCTGGGTAATGCCACACAAAATGGAGGAGTTTTACAAGTACCATGGTAACATGCTTTAGAACTTTCTGGAAACACTTGCCAAATGACCACAACACTGAGCAGGTTCTCCATACCTGAATGCTCACAATCACAGGCTCCACATCTTCGTATTCAATCTTCACCTTTTGGGTAGCCTGCTTGGCATGAGCATATGAATCGGCAGCCACAGTGCAGACAACCTGACCCACACAAGCCACCTGCAGAAAAACCAGGCCCAGAAACATGCTTGAATGGGTCCAGAACGTATACCAATGTAAACCAGTTGCCAGTGTGGGGCTGACACACCCTGAGAGGATGTGTGTGGAGTTGGGAATGTTTGTTAGCTTGGCCATCACTATTAGCCTCTCAGCAATGAACTAAAAGCTTGAAATCTCGATGTCTTCTACCTTAAATGGACATGTTCATGTTCTACAGTGACCAGATGCCCCGCTTCTGAACAATTTTTCCCATGTCCCGCAGCGTTTTAAAAAAAAAAATCCAGATTTTTGGAAAGAATGCACGACAAGCTAGGGTATGTGGTTTTCGGCTGCCATGTGGCTATTTCACCAGGATATGCATTTTATCAATGGTGTCCCGCTTTTGTCCCGCTTTACCAATGTTAAAATCTGGTCACCTTATTAGACCTATCCTGAAACATTGCTGTTGTTGTTGCTACTTGCTGTTGTATTGGCTCCTGATTCATGGAAAACTCCATACACAGAGGAACAAAATACTGCCGAGGCCTGTACAATCACATGACCGATAGAATCTGACCCGTATGACCCACAGGTTTCCGCTGGCACATTTTTTTTGTTCAAGTCGATCAAGCAAACCTTTCTTCCTGATCCATCTTAATCTGGAAGCTCCACTGAAACATGCTTGGCATCACAGAAATGCATAAGCCTCCACTGACAGAGACGGGGGTGTGAAATGCATTGTCATGGACTTGAACCCTGGTCTCCTCCATAGACAATGTGAATTCTACCAGGGAACCACCGATGCCTTTCAAGGTAAGATTACCACAAATAAATAATCTGAAGTTGTTGGCAGGATGGTAAGTGATCATGTGGATAAAGGCACTGGAACGTAGCCAGCCCCGGGAAGAGCAGCGCCACTATTACCGGTGCCCTGAAGGATCCCAGGCACGGTGGACAGCCTACCTTGTCCTGCGCATACAGTCTTTCTTCTTCACTGCCATTGTCACCTGGCACATCCTGAGCCGTTATCACATCCACCACCCCAGGTGATGCCAGGGCTTCGGAGGCGTCAATGGAACTGGGAAAGAAAATTGCCGAGGTGCAAAATGACACGAAACAGGTGGCCTTCTGATGGGTGAATTGGCTGGTGCAAACTGTTAACATACTTGACTGCTAACTGAAAGGTGGAAGGTTCAAGACTTCCTAGAGTTCTTGAAAGAAAGGTCTGGGAATCTACTTGTGGAAAGAAAACAAAAGAAATCAGCCATTGAAACCCTAGTGCAACTCTGATATACACGGGGCTGCCGTGAGTCGGAAGTGACTCCCCAGCAACTAGGGGAGGTGGTGATGGCAAGTCCCCGGAGCGCTGCTGGAGGTCACATGATTCCACCAGGCAAGTCCACAATGGGAAGTGCGGTCAGACGATGTGAACACCAGGGCCACTGGAAAATGCTAGTTTTAGCGGACGCAGGGTTGACAAAACAAGGGCACCTTTCGGCGAGCAGTTTGTGATTCTCACCTTCTGTGAAGATGCAGCCTTGAGTTTTCAAAAACGAATGAGTTCAGGCTGGATAGAGCTACTCAGAAAGAAGGGGACTGAGCATGGCAGTTCTTCAGGGGACTCTCCTGAGCTGAGGAAGTGCTTTTCGCTCCTTTAAATTCCCAGGTCATTTGGGTACCAACTCTTGTCTGACAGCGACGCACTGTTTCAGCTAGTTCCAAAGCCCCGCTGTTCTCTATTCCTTTCCATTTTCTTTAATCAAGATATGTGCTGAGGTTGCCTTTCCAGTAGCGACTTCAATGTGTTGGATTCTTAATAAGCACTCCCTTACGTGTCTGTTACACATCACTGGCTTTGCAATGCTTTTTCACTTACATGAGTTTAGCATGTGGCCTGGTGCTGGTCACCACCGCCAGGAAGAGTTCTCCCGAGAAGGCAGGCATGTCATCACAAAAGACAGCTTCTCCGGTGGCATGTTTGACCCCTGACTGATGCATGACGGGCCGACCCACTGGGTCTTGTGGGGGCTGCTGCGGATCTACACGCTGAGTTTTAAAGCAAAGAAAAACACATTAAGGAAGTTTGTGAGACAGAAACATCTACCAGAAAACCGGTGGGTGCTTCTCTACTCGACCCAAGGCCGGGCTTTCCAAACGAGTCTGTTTTGAGCCTAAACGGTGTTTTCCTTCGCGCTCATTGTCGGTGTCTATGAAGGTAAAGAGGTAAGTGTGAGGAGGCCGAGGCAGGGTGGGGACTGACTGGGACTGAGCACTGTCTTGGCACTGCTCTTGCTACTCGCTGCCGTCGAGTCTGCCGTAGACTCAGGGCAATGCCATGTGCAGGGGAAGGAGACTCAGCTGGCCCTGCATCACCCCCATGATAGATTACAGATTGACTCCTGTGATCCGTAGTGCCTGCGTTATAAAACAGATGTTATGAAAGGCCACCTGGGTAAAAATGTCCAGTTGGGGCAAGTGGAAGCCCATGCGCTCTGTTGAATGTCATCTCCCGACAGGCAGCCAGGAAGCAGTGCTGAGGGAATGAGCATCAGACTGGAAAATAGGAGCCGTGGGTCCTAGCCTCAGTTCTGCCACAAGAGTTTTAAAAGAGGAGCTTTTGTCTGTTGGAAGCAATTTGGGTTCTATTTCTGAAGCTGTGTAAGGAATGTGTGAGACCACCCACTGCCATCGGCTCAAGTCCAACTCCCGAACTGCTGACCTTGGGGTTAGCAGCCCACTATGTAACCACTACTGCAGCAGGGTTCACAGAGACCCCCTAGGACAGAGTAGAATGCCCCACTTGTGTTTCCAAGGCTAATGGGAGCAGAAAGCGCCATCATTCTTCCAGCTGCAACTGGCAGGTTTGAACGGCTGACCTCGCCGTTAGCAGCTCAGTGTGCCACCCATCACCCCACTCAGGATCCAGATTCATGCTTCTCAGCTGAAGCAACATTTTGAACTAAGCGAAGATACATTAAAAAAATCATTTTATTGGGAGCTCTTACAAATATGATCACCTTCCACAGTTCAATCACATCAGTGTTGTACAATTGCTACCACACTCTGTTTCAAAACATTTTCTTTTTTCTTGATCTCCTTGATATCTGCTCCCCTTAATTCCTTCCTTCCCCCACCATGCCCCCCAGGAACCCTTATTTTTATTTTTTGCCATGTCTTACACATCCCATATATCCATTCACATACGATTCTGTTGTTTGATTCCATCGAGTGGGGTTATACATCATCAATGCTATCAGCTCCCTGTTCCCCTCTCCCCTCACCACCCCTCTTCCCATGCCCTCAGGGAACCATTACTCCTGTTACTTTTTCTGATGGGTTATCTATCTTGGCTTTCATGTATCAAGCAATCTTAAAGATACAGGTGAACTTCTACAAATCTGGCAGGATTAATACCATAATAGTAAGGGGGGGAAAATAAAAAAGAACTAGATAGTCATGTGGTTCATCAGTGCTATACTGCACCCTGGATTTATCATCCCTTCCATGTGGCCCTTCTGATAGGGACTGCCCAATTATCTTACAGGTGGGTTTTGGGTCTCTATTACATCTACGCCCCTTCACATGGATTGGGTTGCTTGTTTTTGAACTTCTGTTACCTTTTCCCATTGATACCTCATAATCACACATGCTGGTGTGCTTCTTCCATATGGGCTTTGTTGCTTCCCTGCTAGATAGACTCTTGTTTAGCTACAAGCCTTTAAGACCCCAGGTGTTATATCTTTTAATAGCCAGGCACCATCAGCTTTCTTCACCACATTTGATGATGCAAACATTTTGTCTTCAGCGATCATGTCAGGAAGATGAGTTACATACAATGCCACATTATTAGAACAAACCATTATGAAGATAAATTTTAACTGATCTGGGACTCCAGGAATTTGCAATTGTTCTGGGAATAAAGCCTTATCTCTCCCTAGTCAGGCAACGGGACATCCTGTGTGAGAGCAGCCCAGGAAGCTGCTAGACCGGGGAGGGCATTGAGAACAACATGAGGAAAGGGGTGGTACATACGCAGTAGAAAAGAGCTGAGACAGCACTGTGTTCACTCAAGTACCCAGTTGTAGAAAGATGAAGGGATCTGGCCCAGTCTTGTCCACCCACGCTCCGATTTTACCTCTCCCAGTCTTATGACCCAATCTCAAAGCCATGCAGAAAATAGGACTGTGGTTGCTGGTGTCTGCTGGGAAATGCAAATGAGATTTTCTGGCAGTTTCCTGGTTTCTGCTGCCTTTTGCTTACTTCAGTGACTGAGAAGGGTTCTCAGTGACTAAAACCAAATTCTGTGCTCCGCCCGTTAATTCAATGGCAGCTTCCCAAATAGGCACAATGGGCAGGCCCAGTAAGAACTCGGACACAAAGGTACCTCTGGTTGATGGCACAGATTCAAGTCTTTAGAGTGTGGGGCACATACATTCCGTTTATACAGAACATCTCAAAAGGTATCATCTAGCCAGTTACCAAGTGCTTATTTACTATTGCTAAGGGGATGATAAGAATTGATAATAGGCGTCTGTTCTTGCTGCACTTTGTCACCTCAGAACCTGTGTTAAAACTGGAAAAATCATTGTGTAAAATCGGAAAAGATATGTGATGGCCTGAACATGAACCTTGGGGTAGATAGAGGTCAATGACTAGAACACAGTTGATAAATAAAATGTTCTGCATCCTAGGCTAATGCCCGGGGTCTTAAAAGCCTGAGGGGCAGCCTCTAAGGATCAACGCTCCATGTTTTCCTGCCTGCAGCACAGGAACATGAAGAAAACCAGAGGCTCAAGGACGTCTGGTCGCCCACCTGGATCATAACCGCTTCTAATCTGAGACCAGAAAACCCGGAAGGTACCTGGTTATTTGGGAGAACGACAAATCTTTCTATTTTCTCACAGAGTCTCGGAAACCCTGACCCTCAGGGGCTCTATAAGTCTGAATCAACTTGATGACAGTGAATGTCCCCAACAGTTCTGCTTGCACGTCATCCACACATCATGCAACTCAACAGTTTAATCGCATCCAGAAGAGCTGTACCCTCATCACCACAATCCGTTTTAGAATACTTCCTTCATCCTTGCGCTCATCGTGAGTAGCTCTCCATTTCCCCACCTCCCCTGTCACACCACCCAGGAACCATTAATCCAGTTACCATCTCTGTAGATTTACCTCTCCTGGATTTCCTATACAGAAAAACATTAAAGAAACAAACACCACCCTAACCAGAATAACAAATGAAAATAGATAAAAACTTCAATTAAAAAGAGGACAGAATATTAAAAGCTAGAACAAATTTAAATGGATCATAAGGGAGGGCAAATGATAGGTCCTAAATCTGAACTTCACTGCATCTGCCATGATCCACTTTCCAATGCATTGTACGTGCTAGCAAGGCTGTTCACATTTCTGTCTCGTGGTCAGAGGGGACTCACCAGAGGCTTGATCGAAACATATTTCTTCTTCACTTAAAAAAAAAACTGAAACAGTTTTTCAGCACATTTTTAATGCAGTTTTTGTGGTAAAATTAGGTGCCTCGGCTGATATTCGGGCCGACTTACACTTAAGTGTATATGGTAATTACATCTCCATGGTTGACTTTACTTTCTGATAAAAGGTCTGTTTATATCCCTTGATTCTGATCAGAGGGGATTCACTGGAAGTTCAATCCACCTGTGGACCCAGCCAATGGCTTCTGGCAGTGATTTTTTTTGATCCGGCTAATACTATATACTCCTCTGACCAAGACCACAGTAGGAGGGCCTAGTTAGCATGGATTTTAAATAAAATTTTTAAAAGAACAAGATTCAAAGTAGGGGGAACAAAACAAAAATGCACTGATTGGAAAGAGACTAGAGGACCCCTTGAGACTATTGTTCTGAAAAAACCTTAAAACTGAAGACATGTCCAAGGGTCCTTCCAAGCAAACGATAGACAGGACATGAGCCAAGCAGCACGAGGACTGTGCTCCTCAGAACCAGCACCTGAAGGAGACCAGCATTCTCCTAACCCCAAAGATGAGCCGGACAGAAGGACGGAAAGCGGAAGAAGAGAGAGGAGGAAAGAAACCAAGGAGGGAACAGGGAGCGTGCAGGGACAGTGCAGAGACTGCCGCCCACGTCATCAGAGAGCTTGTGAATGAATTGTTGATTGGCGGAGCTACTTTTCCATACACTCTTTCACCTAAAGCATACTAAATGTTACCATTACATGCGTCCATAGGAAGGCTGCAGAGGAAGCTCTTCTGCCCCCTGCTGCTGGGGTCCAGTAATCCCAAACGTCTTGCTTTTTTTTTTTCTGTGTCATAATTTTTTAAAATTATTTTATTGGGGGCTCATGCAATTCTTATCACAATCCATCCATCCCTCCATTGTGTCAAGCACATATGTACATTTGTTGCCCTCATCATTCTCAAAACATTTGCCTTCTACTTGAACCCTAATATCAGTGCTCACTTTCCCCCTCCCTTCCCTCCCCCTCCCTCATGAACCCTTCATAATTCATAAATTATTATAGTTTTGTCATGTTACACTGTCCGATGTCTCATTTTGCTTTTAAATTGAACAAAGGACAAACATTTAGGTTTCCTTTATTTTTATTATTCACTGAGAAAAGATGTCAAAATCAGAGGCAAGCATTATAAAATATGTCAATGGCTGTCAGTCTGTTGTGTTAAGAACAGTATCCTTTGGGGCTAGATCTGGTTTTTAATATTTTCTGTTTGGGGGATTTTTTATTTCATAATGAGGTGTATCTCTGATGTATCTTGTCATTGTAGGTGGCCTTCTTGAATCTTTGTTATGTGTTTGTCTGTTTATCAGTATATGAAACCCAGAATTGATGAATCTGTAGAGAAAACAACCAGAATAAGGGTCCCTAGAGGTGCAATGTAAGGAGGGGAGCTGATACCAGGGGTTCAAGATGGAAGAAACGGTTTTGAAACTGATTGTGGCAGCAATTGTACAAAAGTGCTTGATGTGATTGAACTATGGAATGATATGATGTCTGGATTAGCTCCTAATAAAATGGTTTGGGAGAGAAAA